ACAGTGCAACAATCGTCAGGTAGAAGGGAATGAGTACCCGGTTGGCATACTTCGTAAGCTTCTATGTGGACATGAAGGCCTTGAGATAAACATTGGCCGGTTAGACTGGGTATAACTGGGGTCCAAGGAGTGAAAACGAGGACTCGGTTTATCCTTCATTGTCGACTTCCATGCAAGCACAAAAGCCTCGAGGTCGGCGTGGCCGAGTAAGGAAAGAATACAACATAAGTCGGAAAAATGAAGAAGACTCGGTTTAATGCCCCTCTAGTCGCCATATTGATACAGCAGTCTTGAGGTTGGTATGGCTGGGTAAGGAGAGAATGTGATGGAGATCGGAAGAGTGGACATCGAAAATCGGTCTGTTCTCTTTTTTGGCTTCTGTGGTAACAATGACGCTTTTTAATGTACGACCGAGAGGTATTACGGATGTGCTACTATCTACCCTTTGGCCTCTTCGGATAAACTTCAGTCGCTGCGATATTTAGCTGGAATATTTTCATAGCTTTTGGAACCGTGAGAAAGTCATCTATCTGGACACGGAACATGTGAAGAGACGTGGATGATCTAATGGACAGTGGGGTACATTTACAAATCGATGCATACTTAATGAGGTAAACTTTTGCACGCATGTTGGTGCACGACTAGGAAACTGTGTGTGCATTTTTTCATTAAGGACAAGGTAACGTCCATTGTGTTGTAATTGCGGGGAGTATCCAGGTTTATGAATGCGACCATGAATTATATCGAGAAGTAGCGATATGTTTAGCTTTACCATACCCAGTCATTTAAGGTCTAACTACAGCAACATGCAGCGTTCAAAGTAAGTTAACCTCTGAGTAGAACCCAAGATCTGTCTTGTGGAAGCATGTTGAACGTGTTCTATTGCCGCTGTGTCACTCTGCGTTGGCACTTGTTAAGGTAAAGAGTTTGAGAAATAGTGTGCACTACTTTTCTTGGCCTTAGGGACAATGTATATATTCGGAGAAGTTAAGGCTGCTGGAATAGTGAGATGCTAAGGCTCTTACCTGGTTACTAATTTCAAGGGATTTAGCGAAGAATCTTAGCGGTTGGACATTCATATCACATTTGTATGGGCTGATATTACACTTTCTGACGGAGAAACTCATTTATGAAGTGCAACATCACCCTCTAAACACATTACAGTCAGTTTGCATATTTTGAATCATGGACTCGTGGTTTCTAGGATCAAATGTGTATACAACTTCCATATCATCGGCAAACATGTAGGGCCTACCGTACACAATGATGTCAAAAATATCATTTGTGTACATCAGGAAGAGAAGTGGTCCTAGAACGCTGCCTTGGATGAGGCCACTTGTCACCGGAGTGCGACAGGATGTGTGATTTCCAATCTTGACTGCTTGCGTCTTGTCGGTAAGGTAGGAGGAGAACCAAGAAAGTAGAGAGTCAGCAATGCCATACCCTGCTAGTCGTCAAAAGCCTAGCATGGGACACTTGGTCAAAAGCCTGCTGTATGTCAAGTAATATGATGATATAAGCTATACCACCGTCGACTGAACTTGTCATGTCGTTTAGGAAGTCTATTTGGCAAGACTGACAAGAACACTGTCTAATAAAGCCATATTGTGGTTGCTGATTAAATTCCTTGAAAGAATAAGCTGGGAAGTCACAACTAATATAATCAACGCCACAACTCTAAGAAGTATGGAAGTATAGCTAATCGGGCAGTAATTTGCAACACCTCGTTTTGAACCGTTCTTATATCTTGGTACAACACGAGTGTTTACAGTGAGACGGAAAGGTGCTAGCTTTCATTGACAAAGTAAATGTTTTGCAAAAGAAGAGGGATATCCGGACCTGCGTATTTCAGTAAAGATGACGGAGTATCATCAGTACCACCATTAAAGGACGGCTTCATAGCGCTAGGCAATTTTCTTACATCTGCTATAGGGAAGTCTACTGTCCACAATGTGGCATTTGTAATCTGTTTTGACGGTAAGGTGTGCTAATCATTTGGATTGCAGTTTAAGGACGAAGGAAAATGCTCGTTGAAAAGATTATTGATGACTACGGTATCATCCACTGACGTGGAGGCAGACGCTGCGATGAACGTGATCCGCTGGGTTCTGCACCCTCATCTTCTCCTGAGAAGTTTCATAAGTTCCTTCGGCTAGTTTGAATCTACGAGATCACGATGTTCTCCATAACACAATCTCTCAACTCGGCCAGATTCTAACTTGCAGATCATATGATGGACCAGATACAGTGTGGTAAAGCCATGGGATTTGTTGGAACAGCTGATCAGTTTTCTGATTTTTCGCTTAGTAAGGGTACTGGCGCGAGAGTTAGCAGTAATGTGGGGGTGTTTCGTTAGCAAAACTGGAGCGATGGTATGTAAGCATTGGTTGAAATTATAATAAAGGATGTCAGTTGCAACGTCTGGGTCGCATGTAAGGAAGGATCTATTCTACTGCATAGATCTTATTAGCGTCACGAACGTGTCCCAGTTGATCGAACTGTACGGCCGGTCGAATATATCATTGTGCTCAAACTACGATACTTATGCGGGTTGAGTACAATTGAATAGCACGACGTTATTATCATTGGTAGGAAGCTAGTCCAGGATCTTGACATTCCCATCGGGAATTCCCAAAGTGAAGACAAAATCCAGAAGGTTGTCATTTCGTTTTGGCAACGAAACGTGCCGTGACCAGCCTTGTGAGCAAATAGTCGTAACAAACCCAAGCAACCTAGGTGGGGCAGTATCAGTGTGCCACGATACTTCTGGAATATTGAAGTCCCCTCCGACTAGTTTGTACTTAGCCGGATGGCCTGTGATACAATCGAATATGTCCACAATAAGTCAGATTTCGGCTTTGCTACTGTGTGGTGGGCTACAGATGCACTCTATGAGCAAGCTGCGATGATTTATCTCAGCCGTTATCCAAACAGAGTCAGCGAAATCGTTAATCATCGGCTCAACCAAAGGTGAGGCGGGAATTGTTTCATCGACGAATAGCGTACAATCTCCTCCTCGGCTAGTGCGCAGGCTATCAGTGAAGCTAATATATCCTGAGATATTGTAATATTGTTCTGGTGTCCGGTCAGTAAACCACATTTCGGTAACGAGAACCATTCGAGGGTTTGACAAATATGTAACAAGGTCGAATGAATACTTACTGCATGCCTCGTGCATCCCACACTGATGTTTGTGCCACCACGAGTAGCCGTACAAGAAAGAAGCCTGTAAGCCTCAAACCCAATGCGTTAGCGTATAGACTGACTTATGATGGCAACAGGGAGCTTGCTATTGAGGAACCAAGTCTACAGGCCGAGGCAAGCAAAAGTGAGGCGCAGAAGCGCGTGTGCCTAGGTTGGACACGACGCCACAGCCCACCATCGGACAAAAAAAAATAATGTGAAAGTAGCCAGTAATCGTCCCTTATCCAACTCTCGATGCGAAATAAAAAGAGCGCTTCGTGTGCATGATGTGGAGAGAGAGAGAGAGACGGCTTGGCGATGACGCCAACCTACAATCACTGATGTCAACAAACGAGAGGTCTGTAGAAAGGCGAGATGTGCTCCAAAGGCATTAGCACGCGCCGAGGCGATGATGAGCAACTTCTTCCACTACTTGCCCGAAGGATATAACGAGTGTTCACCATTCCGAGTACGGAGTTCAGCTCCTCCCCTCGAGTTCAGCACAGAAATTAAGGGAACTGACGACATAGCAGGGTGCACAACCTTAGTCTTTTGCACCGGTCTTCGTACAACTTGCCTCGTAAACTGGGGATGAGTCTGGTAGCTACATGCTGAACTCGTTCCAGTTTTTGTGTCCCGACAAGGATGATCGAAAAATATATTGACAAGCCGTACTCTAGCGTTGGTCTTATGATAGGAGAAGATACGAGTGGTAATATCTTCAGACCAGGCACAGAAACCGCTTTTGAGCGCCAAAATCATGCGCAATGCGTCTCCGTATAGCCTGTTCGCGTTGTCCATGAACTTCAAATCGCAGTTATATTAGGCTAGGTCTCGGCCGGTCAATGTGTGGTTTAGCAGTTGACCGGCCAGAGTGCAAATTCACCCATCACATCCCTTCTCCATGCTTATAACGACTTGACTGGGTTGATTGGCAAATCGATCCATGCAGACAGGCGGTCGAAGTCACGTTGAATTACCTCGCAGTCGGCGGAAGTATCAATTACTCTACAAATTTTCAGGTCGTCCGCAAACAATACACGCGGCAACCGAAGGGGCTGAGATACTTCGTTGATGTAGATCAGGAACAAGATGGGTCCAAGTACTGTGACTTGACATAGGCCCAAGTGGAAGGATACCAGTCAGTAAGATGACCGCCAGAGAACAAAATCAAGTTCGACAACGATTTGATATCGCATACAATCGGGTCAGGTTCTAAGCTCTGAAAAAAACAGAGAAAGTCGAAATTTCGAACGCACGTTCATCGATCGGTGCAAAACGACGAATGGGAGAAGTGTTCGTAGTCAGGTGGTCGTGATGGCAACGATGATACTGGCAAGGTCGGTGATCGGCTCCTAGTCCGACGAGCAACAGAACGAGCAGCCGACTGTGCAGATCAAAAAGGGAAGGTGAAAGCCAATAGCAGGAACGTAAAAAGTTACTTCAGAAAAAAAACACATGCAGCACTTGGGTGGGAGAGGCTTAAAGGTACAAACTCATAGACAGATACAATAGCCACTGGCAAGCAGAGATTGAGCAGCACACAATTGTGCGTAATCAAAGAAGGTAGAGGCATGCCGCAGCAAAACGTGTAGCACATCTGAGCATGGGAGTCATACGCGAAAATAGATGAATACGATGGATGAAGGGATTGCAATCACACACATGCAGGAGGGGCTGAATGAAAACGATGGAATAAGAGACGGATGTTGAGCTGATGGAAATGACCTGAGACAATGCGGAGATAAAGTAGGAGGCATGTAAGGATAAGGTAGAAAAGGATGAAAAGTGGGAGAACCGGGAGGAGTTGTCTATTGCTAGTCCATAGGGAAGACGGATTCGTCGTCATCACCACGTCGGTGCCGGTCGACCTTCCTGTTGATCGTTTCTGGAACATGTGTGGCGACTTGAGGAGAGGGGAATACCGATTGACGAACAGTGACGGGAACACCAGGCGTCGCTGAGCTAAATTCTTTGGCTTCTGGGGAACCCTTTGCAGCCCCGACGGTGCGGTGTGCTCCGCCAGAGGGAGACGACTCCAGTCTGAAATTAAATGCAGTGTGCACTGTAGCTTGAGGTCTGGGAAGATGAACAAATGGAAAAAGGAGAGCATAATTGGGTAAACGGCCAACTCCACTTTTCTCAATCAGATCAAAATACACCTAACTTACTTGGTGCGTTTTGAACGCGCATAAGTCTGAAGCAATCACCCAAAGAGGAAAAGTTGTATGACTACACCAACTAGCTTAGTGAAGAAAAGCCTATGGATAAAACAACCTACTCGGTAACAAGCTAGCACTGAACTCTTGAGGAGACGATCAGGAAGTCGTATTGACGTTTGCATGTTTATTTCCACAGAGAAAACGGTTGCATTGGGAACACAAACCTGGTGAAGACCGACTAGTGATTTAAAGTCCTATACTGACATACTATGCAGGCGTGGACACATCATCATGTGCGTCAAACATGGTGGATAGAAGACAAGCAGGTGCCAGCAGATGGATGGGGCAGCAAACGGTTACTGTTGAGGAACCAAACGTTAGAGGTTTGTAGGGGTTGGTGGAAGATATCAGCAACACACCAATGACCAGTATTGATGCTTCGCTGCATTGTAAACCGTTGTACACCAGACGGGGGTATTGTCAGAGCACCCAAACCTAGGGAGGGGCGGCGACTTGAACTCGACGGGAACAGAGATTGTAAGTCAGAGGGCCGAACCACTGCACTACGAGCTCTCATGAATAGCTGGTGGGGATGTGACCGTGCACCCATATTCAGTGCACCTCAGATAAGAGAAAACGACAGCTGAGCTCTACTCAATTCGATGAATTCCAAAAAACCGTACTGGGTTAACTAATAGGTGCATGAACCAGCTTGACGCCTCGACCCCCAGGGGTGACACAATTACCCGGATAAACGAGCCGGTCAGCCATTTTCATTCGCTATCACGTGATGGAACCGTGGATACTCCGGCGCGAACGTGCAAAAGCGCCTAGAAACTTAAGGATGCGAAATACACAACGAAACATAGAGCGCCCCTTACCGCTCTACTCAGTGATGTCTGAACATGGATGAGGTTAGACAACAAGAGTCGACTGGTCCACATACTTTAAGACAATCGGCTTTTCGTCAGGGAGAACCCGGGTAGTAGAAGAATGTGTTACGATCATTTATACTTTATCAATCACAAAGCTAAAAAAGTGCCATAAATCAGTCCTAGTGCAAGCAGTTAAGCACTGAAGCAAAATGCAGTGTTGCTCGGTGTTCCCACCATATATGGACAACATAGCGTTAGCACCAGCGATCGATGAGGACCGGTCTCTCTCTATGTTAACATCCTTTATGAGAAGTGCCCACATCTCTAAGTACACTGTGGCGTTGTACACCTTACTCTTGACCGGCAAACTAATGTCACACCGTCTCCGTGATGAAGGGTTTGAAAAGGCGCACGGGAGTTACCGGCCTACAAAGTAACCGGTGGTGTTAATACGATATGTGAAACTGATGGCTAGTTGACTGGTGCACTGATCGTCCAGCCTGAGTGACTTCAGTAATAAGGAACACTGGCAGCTTGGATCAGTTGTCGTGCTGAATTGTACCTTCTCTGGATACACCTGAAGAGCAGTATTTATCGATGAAGCTTCCTACTATTACGCAGCACAGATCTACCCGCGACTGGCGACGAAATATATGCAACCAGATGTTCCAGCTAAACAACCAAACTGACGACTGAACTTCGGGTAACAATTCGGTGATCAAGAAAAGAAGAAAGATGTTGGAAAAGCTATGAAGTAGGGCGGTGCAGTTTGAATGTGTGAAACACATACCGAAAGGTTCATACTTTTGAAACACTTTAGTCGGAAGAGTTTGACCGGTATCTGCAGGTCAGTCACAGGTTGTACTTCTCTCAGAAAAGTGGTGAATACTGAATTAAAATGGAGCCACTGGTCCGACGGTATAAGCCCAACCCTACGTGACTGCTGATCCAATCATCCGTTTAGGTAGTAATTGGAGGTATTTTGGCCAGTGGTAATCATGGACGAAGACTGGATCGCATGTCAGTAAAACGAAGCTTTGGTTATATCGACAACGAAGTATGCTATGATATATGCAGTGAAAAGTACGAAAGGTAGAAACAGTACTCTGGTACGTAGTGCCAACCCTTCGCTGCCGCGCAACCACCAGCAATCGCGCGTGAACTGCGAATAATGCGAGGGTCACCCGGTCCCCAATGCGTCCTCGAATTACAACGCAGGCTTGTGATCCTTAAGGCCCGCCGTAGGGCTGCGGCAAACGGGATCACAGGGTGTTTTGCAGGAAATTTGCTGTCTCTATGAAGAAAGATGGTATCAATCTAAATGCAGGCCATCAAGAGACGCAAAGACACATCAAAAACCTCTTGATGGGATTTAAATGCTTAGGGATCTCCGCAAAGCTACAGGCGGAATTTAATAATCAAGTTAGAGGGAGCGGCAGCCTACTGACATTAAATTCGTGCTTCTGAAAGCACACGCAATAATGGGGGTAGACAAGTATCAGGCCGACTTGGTACCTGATGCCATCAACGTCTAATGTCGTCAGGTATAACGGAACATAAGGTCAAAAGTGAGTTCGAACTTAAGAAAGTAAATCTCAATACATTTAATATACCAAGCCTTTGGTAAAAATGACATCAGCAAAGAAGTAAAACGTTTGTGACGGTCAAGCGAAGTTGAGAAGTAGAAAAAATTCAGGAGGCCACCTAGGTGTAATAAACAGGTGGTAGGTTCTGCTGCGTGAGGCTTGCGCGGCAACATGGAGTCCTACTGCTGAAGCTAAAGTGTAAAGTTACTAGAAGAAACATGGTGCTAAGCTCGCGGTAGTAAGGCATATTCTCCTAAGCAATTAAACGAATGGCTAGGAGCCAAATCAATTGGGAACCAATGATTCGCACACCAGCATGCTTAATCTTTGGTTAGGCCCTAGCTATCCGGGGAAGTAGCAAGCCGTATTTCTCCATATTCACCGCGAATTCCAACGTGTGCCTAGAACATGATGTTACAACCTTTCAGCTGGGCGGTCGATAACCGGTCGAATTGATTATGTCAGCAAGTAGCCGGATTTAATCCCTCTTGTGCCATAAAACGAAGTCCTATACAGGAAAATCCGAAGGTTGAATCACGCTGTAGTACGAAGCAAAATACAAGCATGGCTGAAGTGATGATGTGACCCTAACCCGAGTTCAAGTATGTGGTCGGACCATCTCAGATTATAGTCGTAGCTGACAGATTACGCGAGCAAAAATGATGCGCGATCAGTGGACCAGTGGAAAGCCAATCAGTACCATCAGCGTAAGTTGACCACGCTTACACGGGCCGTGTGAACAATGAAAAATTGGTTTGCAGTTTTGTCTGTCAAGCGCGCTTTTGGTCACGGACAAAGACAAGCAAATTGTCGGCGCGCGACACTTAACCTGAGTGGAGGCCGCAAGGTGCGATGGCAGTTAATCGACCGAGCGAGCGAGAGAGCGGAACAAACAGAGCTGACAGGTGGAAAAATCAGTGTCGCCAGCGCAAGCTAACCACATTCGCACCGACCGGTTAAGGGTATTGTAAACAAAGTGCAATTTTGTTCCAGTCAAGATAGGAGGGGTTCAAACACCTGCGAAGCGCGTGCCACCGAACTCTTACCGATGGGTAGCAAGAATCAGCCATTGTAAGTACGCTTCAGTATAATAGAAAGTCAAATTTATATACAGCATAAAATAACCCATTGTGTCATAATAGCAGACTTTTGGATCGCCGTCTAATCTACGTTTTGATTCTCGGAGCGCTATCAAGACACCGTTCGTGCTCGTGAAATGCATTTATTCGCAAGGTTGGTGAAGAGGAAGGTGATCCGCCGAGCGATCTCTGCAGAGCTCACCGTTTCCTGCATCTGTTACGCAGGATTTGACACCAAGCGGTAAAGAACCAATGCAGTTTGCACCTAAAATTCGGCACGAATGTGGTAACCAACGCAATGGGATAGATATCGATGAGGACACATACTTTGAAACAACCCACAAAGTGAGGTCAACGAATTCGCTGAATTCACCTTTAGTTCGGTGGAGTGTGGTATTCACAGAAAGGATGCGCTGAGCTAACTCTGTGCATTGCACAACGCGACCGGCTACGTCCATATGTGAAGCATCCAAATGCAGCTCAGTTCAGTTAAACAACTGCGACCAGAGTCCTGAAGTGGTATGAATTTAATTGGTAGGAGACGAGTCACCAAGATGATAGGAAAATATGTGAGTGTGGGGAAGGAGGCCAAACACAGTAGTATATAGCGAAACGAGGGTCAGGGAGAAAAATTAGTAAAAATAACCTGCAAGGAATTAAATTTGGATGTTTGTGAGTAGGGTAAAGATTGTAAAGTGTAGAAGTCACGATTAAAATTCACGCACAATAATGTGCCTCGACGGGGAATCGAACACCGGTCCACGAATTCCGATCCGCTGTTCTACCACTAAGCTACCGAGGGCTGACGATTAGGTGAGCAAATTTTAACACGTGACTTCTGCTTGGTGCGCGACGTATTGCCAATGGGCTCACAGTACCTGTCCTGGTGGTGCAGATTGGCTCACTCACCCGTCACTTCCCAATGGGCTGAAGTACCTGTCCTTCGAATGTCCAATGGGCGATAGCAGATTAAATTTGAATATTTGTAAGGTAAAGATTGTAAAATGTGAGTGAGCCAATCTGCAACACCAGGACAGGTACTGTGAGCCCATTGGCAATACGTCGCGCACCAAGCAGAAGTCATGTGTTAAAATTTGGGCACCTAATCGTCAGCCCTCGGTAGCTCAGTGGTAGAGCAGCGGATCGGAAATTCGTGGACCAGGGTTCGATTCCCCGTCGAGACACATTATTGTGCGTGAATTTTAATCGTGACTCTTCTACAATCTGCAAGGAATTATACCAACGGAATAAAAGTGCTCAGTGCAGAAGCGCCGCTGACTTGCGACTGTGATATTTCACCTAGTCGCCAAGTGATAAGAGAGCGTTCCCGGAGATCTCATCCAAGAATACAGCATGAATCAGTCTGGCCAAGTCTTTGCCACAACATCAGTTGGTCAATTCGTGGTTGCTCCCAAGTTCAGAAACGAAAGATGCACGCCCACGCGGGCAAACCGAGGACATGACCTATGGAACGTTAACGGTTTAGTTTAACAGACACTCCAAATCGGTTTGAGAGTCTCTTGCTTAGCAACAACTGATGGATTACAGCATTGCCCTTCAAATAAAGATGACTGAATTCTTGAGCATTTCGGTGGATACTTCAGGCTGAAGAGTGATTCCCTAAAGGCAATGAACAAGTGCCAAAGTTGACGCAGCTACGCTGACACCTTCTTCTTTCCCGCTCCTGTCATATCGCCAGGAAGAGCTCAAAAAAGGGAGGAATCAGTCGCGGAGTGCAATGCTGAGCGCAAGTATCTCCACCTTCTGTATACGTGCCCGCAATGTTGTAAATGTTTCAGCAGAATCGGCCAATTACGACAACGTAAAGCAAATTTGAGTGCGACAGGCGAATTGAATCATACTGTGAGTGTGATACCTAGAGACACCGAGGTGGAGAATGAGAACTGTGAGACAACCATACATCATATAAAAAGGTTGTGTCAACCCTAACCAGTAAAAATTACCTAAGAGCAACCGGCTTACTCGAGGCCTTTGCTTGTGCTAAAATGGGATAAATCCGAGTTCGTGTGTGCGCTGGAGGAGGAAGTGGCGAGTAGATGCGAGTCTATGCTGAATCTGCGTGCATCGTTTTGGTGGCACGGGCATGAACAAGCGTTAGAAGACGGTTGCAGTGATGAGCGTCTCATTGCGTGCTCCAAGTAAACACGATCAGTAGGAGAGAATGCCGCGGAGCAGGTACTTCCTGAGGACAGGGACTCGTCTCCCGAGGATGACCGAGAGGGCCCCAGTAGTGAGTCCGATTTGGTCGAATGAGCCAACTTTTGTGGGTCGAATTGGTGTGTGGATTCAAGGGAAAGCTCAAGCGGCTCCGGATCGGACACTTGGCTTGGCAATCCGTTAGCGCACTTTGAATGAAATCCAAGCGAAGAGTCACTGGTCTGTGAATTGGCAGAGCGCCTCCGAATGGGAGAGTAGGCAGACTTAGTGTACAAAATCGCACGCAATAAGTCTCTAGACGTGACCATTCCGATAGAAGTGGCAGCAGGCGGGGAGCGTGTGTCTTGCTGCAGTGGGAAGTCCATGATAACGAGACAAGATGCCTGGATGCCAATATGGAATGAAAAACAAGGGAAATATTACAAGCGGGGAGTAGCAAGCGGCCGAAGGGTATTCGATTAGAAACAATCGCGCAGTGGAATGAACTTATTTTCCGAATATACATAATATGGGCGGTGACATAAAACTGAGATTGTGTGTTAAACATTCAGTACTCAGAACACGAAACAATCATAAGTATTTGAGCAAGATTATTCCATTCTTTGAAGTGTTATTCGGGGTGGTCGATACCGTTCCGAACACCATTCTGTGATACCGTTAGCTATCCTCAACGCGGTCTAAATGTGCCGCAGGCAAGGAAGTGGAACCCAATAGGAGATGGAATTAAATCCTTGTAGTCAAATGAAAGAGAATAGGCGTCCTCTTGCAGAAAATGAGCATATGTTGCCGACCTCAATTCAACCATCAGTCTCCACTGATAAGTGATCAAAGAAAAATTAAACAAAAACCGCCATCACTGATGCAGATTAGCTTGAAAGTACGCCACCTCAGACATCGTGGATGGAAAACAAAGACGTGTAGATCAGTGACATCATGATGGGGGCGGGATAGGAAAAGTTTCCACCATCCAGCAGGTCCAGTATTATCAGCACATGGGACAGTAAGCCAAATTGTACAAGATCGTGCAGAAAAAAGTAGAGGCAAAGCAAGGATGGAGAGCCCCGAACATAGTTCAATTAATCTGTTGGTCGGCGATTTCACACAACGCATAACTGTCTAACCAATAAGGTTGTAGGTTGGACAGAAAAATCACGTCATGTAAGATGTACACCAGCAAGTACACAATGTCACAGATGTGGGAGTCAAAAAACCTGCTTCAAATATATGCTACCTATCGGTTTGTCTGTTTGTATCGGATTTCGTTCTACAATTCGAGATATAAAAACAGACGGATAACGACGTGCCCGATGAGATCCACGTGCAGTGAGGACGGCCATAGTCCTCTAACACCAAACGTATGCGAAGGCTCCCGGTGATAAATCTGAAAACAGTTAACTGGCACGCAGTATCGACAATCAGCACATTCAGACAAAATGATCCCACTAAGCTATATACAGTGTGAAATTGGGGAGGGGAGGGGAGTTAAGAGGGACCAGTTGTTAGATTGAATTTAACAGATCCCTGTCATCTGTATCAACTCAGTTCGTTTACGTTAATGATCAAATCATCAAGTCTGGTTGCCGAGCCACTTTGAAGTATACGCTGTGTGATTGGATCGCGACGCGCAATCTCAATGTGGACCGTAATTCGCACTGAAGTGACGCTTGGTTAATTCGATCAGTGGAACCGTAGCTGAAGCATAAGGAAATTAGGTGTTGCTCGCCTGCATACACTGCACACCACGACACGCTGCGACCTTGTTTGATCTCATCAGGTGGAGATAGCAGGTCTCGAACCCGCGACCATTGGAATAATAGTCGAAACCTATACTTCTTTGAGTACCGAGTCACGACGGACGTCGCTTGGTATTACGGATTATTACCGATTGCTGGGCCATTTTGAAGTACACCTTGTGCGATTGGATCGCGACGCGCAATCTCAATATGGACTGTTATCGCAGTGAAGCGAACCTTAGTCAATTCGATCAATGCGATCGCAGCTGAGGCAGATGGAAATTGAGTGTTACCTGCCCGAAAACAATGCACACCGCCACATCTCCACCTGATGAGGCGGGAAATACCCAATTTCTTCTGCATCAGGTCTGGTGTCATGCATAGAATAACTGTGCGCGAAAACACAAAGAGGAGAGTGTGAAAAGTCTGTGATATTGCACTGTAAACTATGACCCCAACGCTGTGTACCGTGTAAAAGATGGAGGGGTTCCTTTGATTGGATCGATAGTGTTTCGACCGAACAGTGTTGTAAAGCATATGCGTATGACTATTGCCGATCGTTTATAAACGATGCCTCGCTCATTCCCCATGATCGTAAAATAGGGACTTTATCCACAAGGTCGCAGCATCTACTCAGGAGTGCTTTTCACTTCTATACCAGGCAAGTTACACACTGTCTCGGATGGGCAATTAAAGTATGGATGGGTCAAGTTTCCACAAGAAACGACTGGTAAGGAAACTGGAGATGGTTAAACTCCACAAGAGGAAATTAGCGGCACACTGTTGCGCGGTGGCAACTGCGCCGTCAACGAAAGAACTATCGCTACGATAGTACCGAGATGCAGAGTAAATAGGTGAAAGTTGTACAGAGTTGATTAAGTTCATTTGTGCATCCGCTTACTAAACGAAAATTGTTTAATCAAACACTTGCATCATTGAAGGTCCAATAGGAAGTGGAGTCTCTTTAGTAAGCGAACCCGCAGTTGTCGATGAAATACTGCCAAGTGACAGCATCTCTGGCGCTTTCGCTATAAAAATGGAGAATGATCTCATGGTTGTGTCAGCATCGAGCTCATTATTAAGAGTAGGCCAAGAGAAGGAAGGGCATGTATACAGACCATAATACGTGAGCACATGCATGGCAGTGTGCGGTGCCTCGTAACTGGCCTGCGATTGAATACCGAATTTTTCTAAGAGCTGCACATGTTCAGATGGCACAAGCACCATCGTAGCGTTGCGTTCAGCTTCAACTTGCACCGTTCAAAAAGATGCATAAGGTCGGAAAGTGTGACACGCATGCCGAACAGGCTGAACTCCGCTAGTCAGAATTGCATGCGAGGTTTGGAATGTCAAACAGTCGAACGATGTATCCGATTAGCCTGGATGCATCAGCCACCGTTGAGATAAGCGGTTAGTGGCCTCAGGTTGATTCTTTCTTGGCTGTGTTAAAAATATTATTTATTGTTAGATTTCTCCGTGCATTGGAATTATTTCGAAAAAGTTACGACATACTCCAGCTTCACATCTGATTTTGGATTTTTCGGCCATACATACTTATTTTAGGGCTGTTTACTTTCGGAGATTTTATTATCGTTTTGCACTCCATAATTGGTAGCCATCTCGGTCTCGGGTTTTCCATAATGCCAAAGCAATCAACTTGCGGTGCCTGTTTCAAGGTTGTCAAAAGTCGAGCAAATGCACTCCCATGTGTTATGTGGCACGTTAAATTCCACATTTCATGTGCATTGTACTACCAGTGGAGCATTTTCGGCGTTTTTGGCGCAATCCAACATAATCTCATCCGAATTTTGTGTGAAAATTACAGAAACGAGATAAAGCCAGAGAAAGTCGAATACAATCATAAACCGCCTTATAGGCCAAATTTATTACGTTGCGACCAGCTCCGTGTGTCTGGCCCAACAAGCTAGCCGGGAGCGCCTGCACGTTTCAGATAAGCTTTCCTGTTGGTATCGTGCAAACTAACAGGTACGGAGTTCCGCCGTTGACGGTAGTCCAGTAACACTTGACACGGATCTTTTACTATACGGGTGTGTGAAGGCCAGTGTACTGAAGACAGGTGGGAAGTACAAGAGAAAAAAGAAAAGAGTTCAGCCGCTGCAAATCAGCCGCGGGCCAGACGACGTGAAGCTCGGGTAAGTCCTCCCTCTGCAAGATCAATCTTGGCAGATCAGAGAGGTTTTGATATCGGGATTTTCCACGCGCCTGAGTCCAGTGATCCAAATCCCAAGATGCGCTAAGATTATGACGTCAGATTTTGTAAGGAGCCTAACTGATAGACTCCTCGATGGGCGTGAGAACGACTTGAAAGTGAGGCAAATTACCCGTCTTAGGAAGGAAGGTAATTAACGAAGTCGACCAGTGATAATAACCTTTGTGAACGAAGTCAGTCCGAGGCTGATCTAGTCCCGCTCAAATTGGTTGAAAGGTTTACAAATCCAGGTTCGTCCAAACCAGGATCCGGTGGATAGAGAACGGTTCAAGTCAGACAGTATTGAGCTGAAGAGGCGAAATGGTGAAGAGGAAACAAATCTCCGTATCATAAATTTTCGAGTCGTTTCCAAGATTCCACGAAACAAGGTAACCAGGTTGCTCACACTTCAAGCACCCCCGGTGATTCCTGCTACAGCATGTGTGCAGTCTATACCAACTTTTGCAGCCTTAGGTACAAACGCGATAAACTCCGTCGTTTCATTGCATCTGAGCGGCCATACGTAGTGGGATTAGCAGAGACGTGGCTGAATTTTGAGATGATTGCCCAAAAAATCGAACTCAGTGGCTACTAATGCCGATCGACTGAAAATGCTCAGTGGTAAAGCCGATTTCGAAAGGCGGTGACCCCAGCAATGTTGACAACTATAGTCTAAAGCCGTAAGAAGAGGAAAACTGACAAATGTTAACATTTCGTATTGCATCTTCAGTGCCAACACAATAACATGAAATTACATAAGACGACAGGTAGCGTGAGACCGGTACAAGTCCGAACAGGATGGAAGGCAGGCGTGACACCCCTACACCCAGGGCAGCCGTAGGCTTACAAACAACTGTTTCTGCACACAGAGTGCAAGTTTGGTACGGCTGATCGTCACTGTCTTTGCGAAACGTAGGAAGCGCGCGTTAGTTTGTCGTGATACGATTGTAAACACTGTGACCGGATCAAACGGATGACAGGTGGTCAGTAAACGCCTACTTATAGATGAATAGATGATTAGGTGTTATGAGCAACCGATGACTGAGCGACTTGACGCTGCAACCATTTAGGTGCATGTTCCCTTATTCTGGAGTTCAACATTCTGTTACCATAGCCGATGTAGCATGTACCACAGCTACAGGTAAACTGGTAAATACAATGTGAGTTGGCGCTGACAGGTTGTTTTTCATGTTGTGTGTTAGACTGGTACTCGATGAGTCCGGTTGTTAAGAACAATTTCAGCAGCATAAGAAGCTCTCTGGACTGCGGAAATTCTACACTCCGTTGTCTTCATATTGGCAAAATCACCTTTAAATGGGAGTTCAATGTAGACCTTATTTTTAGCAACTGTGAAAACCTTGTGTCCCGGCACCCTCGCGTGACTAGGTTTATCGAGAGAACAATGGTTTACTACGGGTAAAAAAGCATTGCTTAACAAGTC